TGTAAGTGAACATGTAGATCAATGAACTCACAATTCACTTTTTTAGAATTATATGCACCTAGTGGCAAGACTGCCTCATTTTGAAAATACAAGTGTGATCTCATTTTGAGAATGGGAAAAACAACTTAAAAAGAAAATTCAAACAGAATTCACAGAATTATCAATTAAACTTCATTTGATTCATAGAAAGCAATTTAATAGCTATTTTAGTATTTTGGTGTTTTTCAGAAACAATTCAATGTAATGTGAAGCTAACACATGAACAAGAGGTAGAGAATGAAACCCCTTTTTTCATGGCAACTTGTGCAAGTGTGAGCATCCATTGTGTGTGAGTGCTGTGTGATTGTGACATTTTCTGCACAAAACACTAAAAATATATCAATTAGCAAGTAAAAAGGCAATTAACTGGAAAACTAACAGATATTCAAAACAGAGATGTGAAAATTAAACCAAACTGTACCAAATTGTAATTACAACCCCAAAAAGATTTGAAACTTAATTACAGAAATTTACAAAATTCTTAATGACAGAAAATAAATTCCTAAACTATTCATCTACTGCATCCTCAGCATCTTAGGATTCTTATTCCTCTTCTTCCTCATCTTCCTCCTTCACTACTTCTTCACCTGGTTGTGGAAAATGGGTTCTATAGATTGACAGATCTTTGAAAACTGAGGAGCGAAGGCACTGAGCATTCTCTGCCAAGTCTGGAGTGTGATACATTTCATCTTTAGTCATTCCCATTTTCTGACCAATATTAAGCATAACACATTCCAACAGCATAATCCCAGACTTGATACTGCTGTGCAGCTCAGTCTGCCTCTCTGCTAACTGGTTTTGTCTCTCAGCCATTAGCTTCAAGGAGTCCTTCATCATCATTGGTTTTTCCTTTCTAAATTGAGAAGGAATGGGATCTACTGCAGTGCATGATGTGGTAGCATATATTTCTTTCACCATAGAGACAGAGATGGGAGGCACAGATCTAATCCTCTCTTGGTAATCTCCAACTTCAACCCCCTGCATCCTCAAAAAGTAAGGTTATTAATGAAGGAAAGGCAAGTGAATCTCTCTTGGTTTTCAGAATATTTAAAATGCATTCACTGATGACCTCTCCCACATTAATATACAAATCATTAACTATTGCAAAAAGAAGTTTTGCCCTCTTCACAGCCAATGTTGAACTGTGCTTCACTGGCATAAAGGAGTTCAGAATGAAAGTGGTCCACACTTTGGCAAATGGCAGCAGTTGTTTGGTGACAATGCATTTGGGCTTCTTGGGCTGGTTCAACTTCCAAGTTGTTCATGGCCGCCCAATCCTTTGCAGAATTTCTACATAGTCCTTGTCAGGGCTATTCTTTAAAATATTGAACTCCAGCTGTCTAGGCTACTATGCAAAATTTATATTCAGTACTCTGTTTATGTTTGCAGGAGTGAAGTCCACTCTCATCCCCTTTACCATTGTGTTGAACTTAGGGAATTTGTCTCCTTTGAACCTCACAGCATTGGCATAAAACTCCTGGGTTATTTCCTTCCAGCCCATTCCAGCTAAGGAACAGAAGGATTCTCAATCCCTCTTTTGAATTTCTTCCTTATATTATGGGTAATTGTCCCTAGCTATTTCAAAAGTTCTGTCTGCGACAATCTTTCTCTTCAAAATAGTTGCCTTGAAGAAGTTGTCATGGGCAATACTTCTGAACCTTGGATCACATAGTTCAATTGGTGAGGAAGCTGAGACACCATCTGTTCTGGCCTTCTTTGATTTGGGAGTGCTCTTGGAAGGTTGAGCTTGGATGTTTCTGGAGGATCTCCTTGGAGTGGTGTTGGAAGATCTAGCTTGAGTTTTCCTGGAAGATCCAACTAGTGTGTTCATGGAGGTTCTGGCCATTTTTCAGTTTCTGTAAAAAGGAAATAATTTTGACAGTTTAAATTTTTAACACATAATTGTGAAAGTATATTTCCCTGTACTGAAGAAAGTTCAATCAAACAATTTGCAGAAATTCAATTCGTCTAATAATATAACATGCAGTCTGCTGTTAGGCTAAATCAATCATACAAATACAAAAGCACAACTTCACAGTATTAAACATTCACAGTCAAGCATGTTGAATCCTAATATATGAGTTCAGAGTGCATACTCTCAGAGCATATCAGGTTAACGCAGAGGGAGTATTACAGGTTATAAATCTATTTTTCAACAAACTCTGTAATTTTAGCATAAAATCTATTTTAGCATAACAGGGTATGTCAGAGAATTTTTAACTTGACCTCCCTAATTTTTTTTTAAAATTCAGAGTGCACACTTTCACAAAAAATTATGGTAATGCAGAAGAAGATTCATAGGTCTCAACCAATTTTCAAACACAATTCTTCAACTCACACATTGTCAGTAAAGAGCTATTTTATCATAATACTGCAGAGTTGATTATTATAACATTTTTCAAGCATTCAATTGTATTTTAGAGTAATAGATACCTTCAAATAATCACACTCAACAATTTCAATTCAAACATTTTCACTGAAGTCTTATTATGTCAAACCAATTTCTGCAAAAATTTTGTTCATATAATGTACAATGCAGGTTTAAATTTTCCAATAAAATCATAAACGACAGTGAAAACTTAGTCATAGCCTTGTCCATTTCTATTGTTGAATCAAATCTTATCAGAACAGTGTCCCATTTGCCCATTCGACATTTTCAAATATGCAATCTAATACCATTCATTAACTAATATAAAAAATTTACATTCAACAATTTGCAAATCAAATACTTCATGAGGTCTATTTAGGTTGATCAATTTCTACAAATTTTATTTAGAGAAATAAGATAATGCAGATTCTAATTTCCTAGAAAAATTTTATACATGACAGGAAAAACTTGTTTAGAGTATTATTCTCTCTATTGCTGAATCAAATAAACTTAGAACAACGTCCCATTACCTCTCTTTGACATTTTTCCCAAAATAATAACAGAGAAAACCCTAATCCACTATTTCAGAAAGAGGAGGGTAGCGTACCTGGCGAGAAGATGCAGAAATTTCTGGGAAAAGCTTAGTGCTGCTAGGTATGCAGGAAGATTGAAATCGCAAAGAACGCTTAGAGAGAAGGGGAATTTTTAGGTTCAAAGGTGTGTGCGTGTTCACTTTAGTTTATATTTATAGCCACGCGTGAGCACGTGACCACTTTTAAAGTAAAAGTGAACGTTACAACATTTAAGACATTCAGCGTGGTTACTTTATTTGATTAGAGTGAGCGTTCCAGAGAGTTAAGTTTTCTGGGCAAGGGGCGCGTGGTCACTATTGCTGGGCAAAGTGATAACACGCAAGCAATGTTGCAACTTTTTACACAAAAAGGAGTAACGCACATAAGAAAACTCATATTTACCTGTGCATAGCCACTTTTGCCAGGGAAAGTGAGCGTTCCACAGAGTATGTTTTCTCATCTGCCTCTACGTGATTACTCTCATCAGTGAGAGTGATTGTTCTAAAGGGGAACATTAAATTTCACTCTCTTTGTAGCTCCTTTCCTGCAAAATAGTGACTCCTCTCATTAATCAAATGCCTCTAAAACCTCAATTAACTCACTTCTCACACTCTAATCCTTCAATTTACTTCTCACAACATCAAACCTCTAATCACTTATCAGATTCACTTCAGAAAACAAGATGCAGCAGAAAATTTGTAGAAATTGCAGAAATTTGTAAAACATGAATGTGCAGAATTCTATAACAATACAGAAAGCTTAAAATGAGTTAGAAATGTGAGTTGCCTCTCATAAAGCACTTCTTTAATGTCACTAGCTTGACGTTAAATGTCCCTTACTCAAGAGGAACCAATTTCATGCATGATATATTCCTTGTAAACTCCTCTCCATGATAGACCTTTAATCCATGGCCATTGACCTTGAATTCTCTCCCTGTCTTTTGATCCTCAATCAAAATTGCTCCAAAGGGAGATGTTTCCTTGATCAGAAAAGGTCTAGACCATCTTGATCTCAATTTTCCTAGAAATAGTTTCAATTTGGAATTAAACAACAATACTTGTTGTCCAGGTTTGAATTCTCTCTACAGAATGAACTTATCATGAATTCTCTTAGTTCTTTTTTTTTTTGTACAACTTTGCATTCTCATAAGCTTGCTGTCTGAACTCCTCCAATTCATGTAATTGCAGAATTCTCTTCTTTCCAGCACTTGGTAAATCAAAGTTCAGCCACTTTGTAGTCTAATAAGCTCTGTGCTCCAACTCTAAAGGTAAGTGACATGCCTTTCCAAAGATTAATTGATATGGTGACATACCAATTGGAGTTTTAAAAGCAGTCTTGTATGCCCATAAGGAGTCATCCAGTTTCTTTGACCAGTCTTTTCTTGAACTACTCACTACTTTCTCCAAAATTTGCTTGATTTATCTGTTTGACACTTCTACTTGTCCACTTGTTTATGGATGGTATGGAGCAGCAACCTTGTGCTTCACACCATACTTCATTAATACTGTTTCAAGATGTTTGTTGCAGAAATGAGCATCTCCATCACTTATCAAGAATCTGGGTACTCCAAATCTTGGAAAAATATTCCTTCTTATAAAAGAGATCACAATCTTGGCATCATTTGTTCTTGTGGGAATAGCTTCCACCCACTTAGAAACATAATCTACTACCACTAAGATGTATTCATGAGAGAATGATGGGGGAAATGGTCCCATGAAGTCAATCCCCCATACATCGAATAGCTCTACTTCTAAAATGTTTGTCAATGGCAGCTCATGCCTCCTAGAGATGTTGCCTGTTCTTTGACATTTATCACAACTTTCAACATACTTCTTAGCATCCTTGAAAAGTATAGGCCAAAAGAAGCCTGCTTGCAGTACTTTTGTAGCAGTCCTTGAACTTACATGGTGGCCTCCATATTTTGAGTTGTGGCAATGCCATAATACCTCAAATTGTTCATTTTGTGGAATGCACCTTCTAATTAGACCATCTACCCCAATCTTGTACAAATAAGGGTCTTCCTACATATAGAATTTGCTGTCATGTAAGAACTTCTTCTTTTGCTGCCAAGTGAACCTCTTTGGGATGAATTGAGTAGCCTTAAAGTTTGCAATGTCAATAAACCAAGGCATCTCTTCTACTAGAAGAAGCCTTTCATCTGGAAATTCTTCATTAATTTCCAAAGAGTTAGGGGTTAGACTTTCTAATGGAAGTCTGGATAGGTGATTAGCTACCCCATTTTTCTTTCCCTTTTTATCTTTAATTTCTAGCTCAAATTCTTGCGGTAGCAAAATCCATCTCAGCAACCTTGGCTTGGCATCCTGCTTTGACAACAAGTATTTAAGTGCAGAATGGTCAGTATACACAATAACTTTTGATCTCATCAAATATGATCTGAATTTGTCAAAGGCAAACACAATAGCTAGGAGTTCTTTTTCTGTAGTTGTGTAATTTACTTGTGCAATGTATAAAACTTTGCTGGAATAATATATGACATGCAATTTTCTATCTTTTTTCTGTCCCAAAATAGCTCTTACTGCACTATCACTTGCATCACACATTAATTCAAAAGGCAAATTCCAATCAGGTTTTACAAGAATAGGTGCAGAAATCAATTTTTCCTTCAAAACAGAAAATGCATGCAAACAAGCATCATTAAATATAAAATCAGCATCTTTCACAAGTAGATCACTAGGAGGTTTTGCAATTTTTGAAAAGTCTTTGATAAACCTCCTATAAAAACCAGCATGTCCTAAAAAACTCCTAACTCCCTTAACATTAATTGGTGGAGGCAGTTTACTAATGACTTCTATTTTTGCTTGGTCCACCTGCATTCCTTTTTTTGAAATTTTATGGCCAAGAACAATGCCCTCTTGGACCATGAAATGACATTTCTCCCAATTCAACACAAGGTTAGTATCTTGACATCTCTGCAAAACAGTGGATAGATTAGCTAAGCAATCATCAAATGAATCACCAGAAACAGAAAAATCATCCATAAACACTTCAATGATGTTTTCTACCAAATCAGAAAAAATGGAAAACATGCACCTTTGAAAAGTGGCAGGAGCATTGCATAATCCAAAAGGCATTCTTCTATATGCAAAAACTCCAAATGGACATGTAAAAGCAGTCTTTTCTTGATCATTAGGGTCCACTGCTATTTGGTTGTATCCTGAATACCCATCAAGAAAACAGTAGAAAGAATGTCCAGCAAGTCTTTCCAGCATTTGGTCAGCAAATGGTAGTGGGAAATGGTCTTTTCTAGTTGCATCATTTAACTTTCTATAGTCAATATACATGCGCCAGCCAGTAACAGTCCTAGTTGGGATGAGTTCATTCTTCTCATTAGGTACAACTGTCATCCCTCCCTTGACAACTTGGACTGGACTCACCCATTGGCTGTCAGAAATTGGATAAATTATCCCTGCATCTAGCAACTTCATAACCTCTTTCTTGACTATTTCTTTCATGGCTAGGTTCAACCTTCTTTATGGCTACATAACTGGCTTAAATTTCTCTTCAAATAGAATTCTATGCTTACAAAAAGAAGGATTTATACCTTTCAAGTTTGAAATACTCTAACCAATTACAGATTTGTGTTTTCTCATAATTCTTAGCAGCTTTTCCTCTTCTTCCTCCTTGAGATCATTGTTGATGATGATTGGATTTTCATGACTCTCATCTAAGAAAGCATATCTTAAGTTAGATGGTAGTTGCTTGAGCTCTAGCTTCTAATTTTTCTCTTCTTTGACTTCCTTTTTCAGCTCTTGTTTAACTGATTTTTCTGCAGGATTCATAATTGGTAGGGATTCTAGTTGCTGCTCAATTTCTATCATTTGTTTTGTTTAACAAATCTCAGAATTTGTATTTCCGGCAGCTATGGTTTCTCTCAACACAGAATTTTCATCAAATTTATTAATAGGATAATGTGTAATAAGAGAATCCAATATATCTACTCTCATACATGAATTATCTTCAACTGGATATTTTAAAGCTTCAAACACATTAAACACTACCTTCTCATCTTGAACTCGAAGCATAAGTTCTCCTTTTTGCACATCAATAAGATCTCTCCCTGTTGCAAGAAATGGCCTTCCTAGGATCAAAGGTATGTTTGCATCAACCTCCATGTCCAGAATTACAAAATATGCAGGAAAAATAAACTTGTCAACTTTAACTAATAAATCTTCAACAACTCCATATGGATAGGTGTATGATCTATCAGCTAGCTGCAGTGTGATGTTGGTAGGTTTTACTTCTTCTATGCCTAGTTTCTTCATGATAGCTAAAGGCATCAAGTTTATGCTTGCTCCCAAGTCACACAATGCTCTTCCAACAGTGCACTATCCTATTTCACATGGAATGTTAGATGATTCTGGATCTTTGAGTTTTTGAGGAAGCTTTCTCTTGAGAATGGCACTGCATTCCTCTGTCAAGGGTACTGTCTTGTCGTGCTCTAGCTTTCTTTTTCTGGAGACTAGTTTTTTCATAAACTTTGCATATGAAGGCATCTGCTCCAAAGCTTCTACAAAAGGAATGTTAATTTGTAATTTCTTAAAAACATTCATAAACCTTTCAAATTTTCTTCCTATTTAGGTTTTTGAACCTTTTGACGATAAGGCAACCTCTTGTATTTTTTTGGATTTATTGGCTTGCAAGCATCTTCAAAGAGTTGCTTCTTGGTTTTCCTCTCAGAATTCATAGGAACTTCTACTTTTTCTTCTGAATGATCTTTCTTCAATGCTTAAAATTTCCTTGTTGCAGATCTTGTTCAATTTTTCTCTCTGCTGCTTCATCATTAACTTTTTTTCCTGCAGCTTTTGGACTTGCAACTATAGCTCCACTCCTTGTAGTGATGGCTTGACATTGCTCCTTAGGATTTATTACTGTCTTACTTCAAAATCTGCCCTCATCTCTGCTGGACAACTGCTCAGCTAGCTGTCCAATTTAGGTTTCCAGTTTCTTCATAGAGGCTTCTTGATTCTTGAAGGTTGTTTGGGTCACCTTCATAAATTGCAGCATGGTTTCCTCCATCTTAGTCAACCTTTCATTTATAGGTTTGGAAAATTTATGAGTCCTTGTGGTTGAGTGGATGGATTCCTCTGAAAATAAGACTGTTGTGTGGCTGGACCTGCATTAGAAAAAGGTAAATTGGAGTTAGAATTCTTGGCAGCAGAATATTGATTATTCCAATTAGAATACTGCTGACTTCTATTATTCAAAAATTGAAATCCAAGAGGATATGAGGATTGTTGTCTCTGAAAATTGTTCATATAATTCACTTGTTCCTGTGGTTCACTTGTAGATGCCTCACATGCACCATTTGCATGGTTTCCTCCACAAAAATCATAGTTTAAGTGACTGGTAGGCATACTCCCTGCTTGAAGATTGCTAATTTACTGAGTCAAGGCAGCTATTTGTTCTAAAAACATTTGATTTTGTAGCTGGTTCTGTGTAAGAAAGGTTTCCAAAACCTTAACTTCATATCCAGTGTTTCTTCCTTGATTTCTTGAGTTTGAATTTTGGTACATTGAAGATGCCATCATCTCAATAATTCTCTAGGCTTCTTCTAAATACTTTGTGTTTAAGGAACCTCTAGCAGCAGCATCCACCATTGTTCTTGTTGATGTATTCATTCCATTATAGAAGGTTTCCAATTACATCCAGTCTGGAATACAATGATGGGACACCTTCTCAGCAATTATTTGTATCTTTCCCAAGCTTCATGCAAGGATTCTCCTTCCTGCTACACAAAGAATGTAATTTCTCCCCTTAGCTTAGCAGCTTTGGATGGAGGAAAATACTTGGTTAGAAATTTATTCACTAGCTCTGTCCAAGTTGTGATGCTTCCTTGTGGTTGAGCTTGCAACCAGCATTTAGCTCTATCTCTCAAGGAAAAAGGAAATAATCTCAGTCTGATGGCTTCTTCACTAACCCCATTCATTCTTATGGTATTACATAGCGGCAAAAAATTTGAAATATGTAGGTTAGGGTCATCAAAATTTCCACCAGAAAACTAATCCTGTTGGACTAAGTGTAATAGGGCAGGTTTAATCTCAAAATGGTTGGCTTGGATAGTTCGTCTAATTATAGAAGAATTAAAACCTTGCATGTTAGGAATTGCATAGTCCCCTAATGTTCTAATCCTATCCTATTCTTGTGACGCCTAAAAATAGTAGGATTTTTTTTTTTTGTACGAACATAAGCTCTCTCTTCATAGAGAGTTTTAATCACACAATTAATATTCCGTATTCCATAGACAATCATCATTTCACTTCCCAATTTCAACCATACAGTGGGATAAAGACAAACATAACTTATGACATAAAGGTACCTCAAGGTATTTAAACATCAGTTTGGCAGAAATAGTAAAATGTTCAGATAGCGTCGAGAGCAACAAACATTAATCCAATCCATCAAACAGAATAGCAACATAAGTAAACCAAACGCCCTACGAGCAGTCCCACTAGGACAGAAACAAACAACAAACATCACTCATAAGGTGAATAATCCTCAATGGGATCAGACTCCTCAAAAGATGTCGGGGAAGCAGAGCTAGAAGAAGCAGCGTCCTCAGTGTCCTCTTCAATCCATCCAACAGTGTGAGGTGGCGAATGGACTATAGTGAAGGGCGAATAGGTGTTTGGGTAAGTAGGGAGCATGTGGGGCAGTACATCATCATTCCTCACTTAGGGTTCTGCCATATGGACATCTCTCTCAGTGGCCACAGGGGGTGGAGTAGGATCCTCAATAGAGAATGGTACAGGTGCAGGTACTGGTCTAGAACTGGGAGTACGAGGATCAATAGACATGGGAGAAGGAGTAGCTACAAGTGCAGGATAAGGTAGGTGAGAATCTCCAGGTGGGGTGGAGAAAACAAGCTCGATGGGGGGTGTCAACCATAAAATGGGTCGTCCATGAGTGTCCGACATCCTGTCCATGAATCACTCATGCCATTCCATGGAAGATGCTTTGCTGCGCTGCCGCGTTGAACACCTAAACGTCCTCCTCAGATGGCAGGATCCATACCTTCACTCGAAAGCTGGTCATCTGTATAAGGCATATACAAAAGTACAACAACACACACAAACAGGGGTGAGTTCTCCAAACAAAAACAAACATTCAATAGCCGTACCCCAAGGAAGGTGGCTTTTCACACCATCACCCAAACAACATCATTATCCAATCTCAAAACAAACATCGGTACAATATAAGTCGGTTCATACTTCTCATAGAAAATTCCTAGGTTCATCAAACTAATAATGCACATGATGCATGAATGCAAGTTTCTTTCCTTGCTATCCATCCCTCGAATTTTTGTTTTAATGCATATGGTATGCATGGGGATCCCTTACTCTACTGCCAGCGACTTGCCCAGCATTTAGTGTAGAGTTAACAATTTCATATCCAAGTCGTGTGGCGATCGGAGGACTCCATTCCCTGCATCACAATTGCACAGAAAAGAATTTATATCATTATTCAAAAACACCCAAACTGGTGCTGGCCCCAAACTGGGTCTCTTCGGGAATGGACCTCAACGACCCTAGGATGTGGAGTTCTTGTCAGGCTTGGCTAAGGCTTGCAAGTAGGGTCACGACCCGGCCACAGAGAGCTCTGCTGCGCCATCTAGGTCGATTGTTCCCCCTTTTGCCACGCTCGTAGGTCTACTCGGGACTGAACCTCCAATACCTACAGATGTGCCTCTGTTATGCCATCAAGTCATTCCAAAGAAATGTTATGATGCATGGAGCATGATTTTCTTTTCTTTCCCCAATGTTTTCTCAATCTTGGATGACATGGAATTCAAAGCACAGAATCAAAGCCCTCACAAGGCCTGCTCAATCATTATTCACTTTCTCATCCAGCATAAATTTGTTAAACAACAAGGTTTAGGAATTACATACAAGCTTCCAATCCCATCAATACACATCCACTATTTCTCAACACATAAATTTCAATAATTGACATAACCCACTTAGATTTTCCTCATCCAATTCCATTATAATAATTTACTATATCACCATCGCTTATTTTATCATTTCCATCGTTATTAACTATACTACTTCCTACTTAGATATGACTTGTTTCCGCTTTCCTCTTTCTCTCTGGTTTTTCCATTTAGTTATTTTCTAATTACTTGTATTGATTCCTGACTACCTATTTGATTCAAGGTTACTTAGTTTAGTTCTAGCTCTTTTTAGGTTTATTAATATTAAGTCCTCACGCGATGGGTTCTATTAAGTAGCTAATAGTGAGATCTTTCCAAGAATGACTTTTATCAATTAACTACTATATCCAGACCCTTAATTACCATCTCCATACCTTTAATTACTATCTTTTTAGTTTGGGTAAACTTTTCATCAAAAAGGGCTGCATGGAGGTTTTTTTCCCTTTTATTCCTTATATAATGCAATGAACATGATGCATGATTCATCTTAATACTCACGAATCCAGGTGCAAACAGCAAACACACCCTATCATTATACAATCCTTCTCACTCATATTTCACCAAAATTAACACAATTTCAAGTGCAACTTTTAGGATTCCTTATCATCAAAACCGAGAGTGAATAGTTCTCACTTTCTTGTCCACCACAAATTTCCAAAGCACCACATGCATGAAACTTTTTAAACCAAGTGGAAACGTACATCACAATCAATTCAATCATCCATCATCCAAACTAGCAATCAACCATTTTCACGCAAATCACACAAAATCCAGCACGATTTTCAAATTCTAAAGTGTAGTTCAATTTTTTTTTTCCATATGGTTTGAGTGTCCAAAAATTAAGATTTTCCACCACAATTACCTTTTCTTTTGTGTGACTTCCCTTTATAATTTTACTAACTTTCCTTAAACAATTTTTTTTTTTGAACTTTAAGTACAACATTCTAGTCTTTTACATGGAAAATCAAATTTGTCTAGCCTTTCCACTAAATTTCCGTCAAGTTAAAAATAGGTAACACAAAGGAAACTAACATGCAATGACATAGTTTCATCGTCCAAGTGCAGGGGCAACATTTCCAAGTGACATTCAAACTTCCAAGGGAAAACTGAAACACTTAGGGGCTGAAATCAATATGCAATGGCTTCCATTTCACATGCAATCCATGGTTTATTGATTACAAGAGTAGATCGACATTTTAAACAAAGAATCCAGCCAAACAAAAGTGAAACCGAGGCATACACAAAGGGATTCAAAGCATTTCATGGTTAAAATTCAACATGCAAGTGAAAGGATATGTTAATCAAGTTCACGGTTCATGGTTTCAAGGAAGAAATATCATTAATTCAAAGATTTCACCAAGGGAACATAAAAATCGAAACATGCACAAGGGAAAATCCACATCTACACATCAAAGTTTCAAGCTTTCAAAGAACAAAGTTGATTAAGAGTGGAATCAAACTCTTTAGAACGTAACCGAGGCATGCAAACAAGGAAATCCACACACTTTTCGGATAAAATTTAACATGCAAGTTCAGATTTGAAGTTCTTCAAACATGCAGTCCAATATACACTATTTTTCAAAGGGAAATTAAGCAAAAACAGCCAAGAAAGGGACATGCAAACACATCTATGGTGAGAACTCCCCCTTGCCTTGAATGTGTCAAAAATTTGTGAGCAAAAGGAGTTAATCTTGGCTGGTTCTTCAAAAGAAAGGTGCTGGACCGAGAGGATGAGTTTCAAACTTCAATCTTTCTCCTCTTGGTTAGGTTGTCTTCCTCGGTTCTTTGAAGAGAAAAGGGGAAAAGCTTCAAAATGGTTAAGATCAAAGTGAAAAAGAAAGTTTTAGGAGCTTTTGGTGCTAGGCTTCCATGGTTCTTCAAATCAAAGAAGGAAAAAGGATGAGAAAGCTTACCTCCTTGAAGGAATGGTCACGATTTTGAAGAATCAAGCAAGGGAATGCAAAGGTGAAAGCTTGGAGCTCCTTGGCTTGTCTTGAAAGGTTGAGAAGATGAGAAATTTTGAAGGGATTTAGGGAGAGAGGGTCTCGGTTTTTTTGAAGAAAATGGAGAGAATAGGACTTGAAAGAATTTTGAGAGAAAGAGTGGGAGGCTCACAGTTTTTAGAGTGAAAAAAAAGAGGAAATAAGGTAGCTTGACCTATTTATATGAAGTGTTCAATTTTCCTTTGCCAAATGTAACTTAATGCTCACGGTTTGGGCTTGTGGGACAAGATTCAAATGCCAAAACTTCACAAAATTGATTTGAAGCAATTTGGAAGTGAAATTTGGTGAAAAACTTGGTGCCACGGTTTTTGTGCATGAATAGTGAATTCTTTTTGCAAACATGCAAGTTAAGTAAATACATTTTGGCAAGCAAAATGCATGGAGGAATGTGGAGGCTACATGCACACGGTTTGGAGTAGAACATTCCAAGATTTGCACCAAATTCCAAAGGCTAGATTCTAGGCAGCAAATGCATGCAATGTGATTGGCCGACGAGGAATTTGATGTGATGAGATTGACTTTTGAAGGGACATTTGACATGGTGCAAAATTTCAAGAAAAGCATTTAATTAAAGTAATCATGATGTCGGCCTTTTAGAAGACAAGACAAGAAAGTTCCGGAATAATTATGTCTACAAATCGGGAGGCAAGAATCTTTTGCATGAAATTCTAGTGGCCGATACTAGATTTGGAAATCTTTACAGTAATGATTACTAGATTTCGTGAGATTCCGTGCAGAATTTTGACGGCTAAGGAATGATTACAAAATCTTAGCAATAATTACAAAATCTCACGTTTTTCAAGGCGAATAATTTTGATTTGACAATTT